ACTTTCTTAAAAGTTTCTAAGGTGAATTATTTGCCTATTTGTTTTTTAATGCTGATACTCTGGATCACACATAAGATGGAAAGTCAGTTCACATGAAAATTATTATTTAATGCTGAACTGTGTAAAAAGGTATTAAAGTAGAAGCAACATGGACTGCATCTTCCTCAGGTTCTGCCAAAGGTGAGAAACAGCTTTAACAAAAAAACAGGGAGATAAAATGGGTTCATCAGGAAAACAAGCTATACTTATTAACTTATTCTCCTGATAAATTGAACTAAATGCTTTTGAAAGAATGTCACCTTGGTCTCCTTAGGCATTGCTTTCTAAATTGCACATACATCCCTGTGTAAAGCTGTGTTATGAAGACACAATTATGTCTGAAAATAGTAGAAATTGTTTAAATATAGAGAAAAAGAAATAAAGTCACATGGAACTGTCATTATTTGAATTAACTAGAAAAGTATTAAAAAATTGCACACTGAATATAGGTTTAACTTGTTATGACACAAGTTACCCTGATGATTTTCCTGACAAAATAATAAACTAGACTTTCTCCATAATAAACTAGACGTTCTCTGACTCATTTAGATGTTAGTTTACTTATGATAACATTTACCACTCTTTGAATACATTGTCTTGAAGTAAAAACTCCTGCATTCTCAAGTGGTATGAACTAATTTATCAGTAACACAGATCTGGACCACAATTTGCTATTAGTTCGACATGAGAGGAACCTTCTGCCTTTCAAATATTTGTCTCGAAATATACAGTGATGTCAAATTACTGCCAGAATGAAAGTGGCAAGTAAATGATTCTTCTAATCCACATAAGATTTTTCCTGTCCACAGGACTTACAGACACAAATCTTTTCAGATGTGTTATGTATTTGAAAGGTTTTGGTGGTCTTATTTTTTTTTTTTTTCTATTATTTGAAAGCACTTAATCATATATTTATTCATATGTGGGTTTTGTTAAATTTTGTCATGTAGACAACTGTTACAAAAAATTTACAAGGCATGGTTTCTGTTTCCTAGCTACACAATACAGAGTCACATCCAAAATTCTGCTTCAGGATATATGTTTTAACAGTTTGTATGAATACTTGCACAGGCAACTCCCTGTAATTCTCTCCCTTTCACTCACCAGCTACACCTGTGAGCTGCTGCGTATGTACTAATTTTCCAACAATAAAACTTTATTAAATTCTTAATTTTGTACATTTGCTTAAGCCAAAACATTTGCCACTAAGATGTAAAGGATAAAGTCTAGCTGGAAAAGAAATTTACTATTTTTAAGTAATATGTATGTCAATGTCTTGTCCTATGTATCATGATATAGCATACATTTTTGCCATCCTTTGGTAAGTCTGATGGAGATTATAGTCTGCATTCCACTTAATATGCAAAAAATGATCCAAAATAAGTAAAGCCAATTCTTTATCCAGACAAAAGCATTTTTCTCCTCACTTTCCAGCAAAGAAAGATCTAGGTTTCTTACTTGAAAAGTAGGCCTCCCATGTCTTATCTGTACCAGAAAAATATTACTTGTTACTGCTCTCCCTGCTCATACATAGGCACACACATAACTCCTTACCAAATTCTGTAAAACTTTTACTTAAGAGGTCAAGGACAGAGACTGAATACTTTATTCCACAGATGGCTAAACTAATCATAAGGGTAACTGATGAATAAAACAGCTAAGAGAGACTCTGGTACACTGAGACATCAAAAGTTTAGCACCATTTTTTTAATGCTGTCTCATCAGAAGTTATACCAATATATCTTGTAATTGAGAAGAAAAGCTATATTTCAAAGAATAAGTGGGATACATAGAGCTAAAAGAATGAATCATAGTTCTATCCATCTATCTAGCTCACTCACATTAAGTTCTTAAAGTAATATCTTTGGTGTTATAATAGATAACAAAAAAAATTATTTTCAAACATACATTTAGCAAAAAAGTCCATTAAGCATATGGCTTATTATAATAGTTTATAATGTATATATATATATGTATATATAGTTCCCCCCTTGGTATGAGGAGACAAAGAAGCCTAGCATTGTAGAATAATAGCAAATTACTAAACACAGAAAAGATATTGCAAAACATTGTCACAAAAGAGCCAAACCATTTTGTAGGGTTTCAAAATAATATCTGACAGGAACTTTATTTTTGTCAATTTTTATTAAAAACACACACACACAAAAGACAATGCAGTAAAGACGCTAAGCCACCATTCCACTAGATGTGAGCCTTTGGTATTTTCCCTAAACTCCTTCAGAACGCTAAAGTAGATTGAGATTCCACTATTTCCACCAAACAAACACTTTATAGAAAAATGGCAGGAAATTCAAAACACCATAAAAGTCAAGCAACAAATTGTGCTTTTATATGTCCTTTCATCTAACCATAAGGAAAAAACAAAACAAAACCCAAACAAATCACCAAAACTTCAATAGCTGGAATTGGTAAGGGAATGACAGATTATCAGTGCCAAGTTGGAAAACTGTAAGTGCACTGCAGTATTTAGAGGCACTGCAAGAAAGGAATAAGGTAAATGAAAATGAATGAGAAAATATTCTGAATCCAAAATTCAGGATTAAAATCAATGTTTTATTTGAATTCTTCAAGCCGTCAACAAATTAATCTGCTATAGTAAATTTGGACCATTATGAAGTGAAAGGAAGTGGCATGATATTAGGAATGTGGAATGGAATGATGGATAAGATCAAGGATATTCTATTCTTGGTTTTGTCACTGGCTTCCAAAAGGTAAGTATTTTCAAGTGCTAACATCTGCTAAGACCAGCAGAAAAGTTACTGCAAAGTCTGTATAATATGCCTAAATTCATCTATACTAACAAAATACAGGGAAAATATCACTTGGGTGCTGCCCACTTCTGAAAAGTGTTCCAGCTAATTCAATGGAAAAGTTAACTTCTCTTGAAGTTTCTTTAGATAAAGAAATTTGCTTAATGGCTTTTTTACATGATTCAGCCTCTTGGCTTCACCATGATCCACAATCTGATTTCTCCTGCATGCCTACTGTTCTTTCGTTTTTTCCTGCTTTCATTAATTCCACTGTTTATGGACTCAGATTTCACATTTAAAAGGTTCTTAATTATTATTACTTTTTTAACATTGATACAGCTTCACAAACATCCCTGTGCACTCTTTAATGCTTTCCATTCCTAGGTCTCAGATCTGATCAGCGTTTTCACTGCTAAAAGTATGACAAACCCTGTAAAATCTGGAATAGAAATGGGGAAGTATGTCCTTCGATTCTGCAAGTCCACTGCATGTGTGGTTTCTATCAGAAAGTTGAAAGTACATTTGTATCGCCAATTTATCAGAACAGATGTTTAGTTAATGCTTTTTATGATATATGATATGTAGCATGTCTTAAATCACAAATGATTCTAAGGATATGTATTAAGTTGTTCCAACCAAGACTGGAGGCATGAGGATGTGTGGGATGACAACCTCAAAGCACCAAAGACATGAGAAGTAAATCTGATGCTGCATTTATATTACAGAAGAACATGACTCCTGGTTTAGTACAAAGAGAAAACCAGGTAGAGGTAAAACCAAAAGCTTGAGAGCTATGAGTGTTACAACACAACCTGCTGAAATGAAGTCACTAAAGCACATCCCATGAGGACCACATGACAGCAGAGCAAAACAAATGTTCTTATTTAAAATTTGGTCTTCGTTTTGTTTGTACCCTGCCTTTTCTGAGGCTTTAATTTCAATCTTTCACTGTTAATTTTGTTAATAGCAAGGTCTCAGTGCTACCTGGAAGGGCAGACAGGATCCTTGAAACTACCGGTTGTATTGTCTCTATATGAATCAATATATTCTGTATCAAGAAAGGATACAGAAGAAATGCCTGAGTCATCCCAGGAGTTAAACTCCAAGCCCAGAGGAACACCTACAGCACCTCAGTAGCAGTTAATATGGGTGGAGCCTGCATTACTGTCTTCTAGTGCTGGGCATTTTCCTCCTGCAAAATGCAAGCTGCAGAACAGTGTATCTCAAGGTCTTAAGCAAACTACACAACATGATTTAAACAGAAGCCAAAAATACATCCTTCACAAGCTCACATACTGGCTAACTGGAACTAGAATCTTTAGTCGAAGTTGACTGCTTCAAGCATATTTCAGACACCACAGCTGTGGTCAAAATATCAAATATATCAAATATTGCTCATCATTTGTTTGGGGCTGATGCAGCTCATAGTGAAGCTTTCCTGCCTAGGTGATTGAGAACTAGATAGAACTCCAGGAGCAGTATATGGCAATTATTGGCATCACATGTAACATATATGCCATGAAAAGTTTTCTCCTTATTGTATGCTTCTGCATCCTGGTTTGTTTTTCACAGGTGGAAAAACTCACGAATTGATATGAAAACTAAAAATCACAGAAAAGCAAAAATATATTCAAGAAACTAGAAACACAACAATTATTTTTTCTTTCAGTAATCAACATTAAAAAACCTTAATTTGCCCACATTTTCCAAGTCACATAATAATTAATACTCACACAAACACAAATATTCAGAAAACAAAATAGGGACAGATGGAAAAAGATAAAAGCATGAAGTTACAGACAGAAGATGGAACATGTTATTTTACTAAAAAAATCTTTTAAAGCTATTTTGAAGGTGATATGGTATTTCTCAACAGTGTATAAAAATATTATTGCAGATGATACATATAGCAAATAAATTTAAGTACATCTCTGCTCATCTATAGGATTTTGTTACAACATCAAAAATACATGCCATAAAACGGATTGAGCACCTTTAGATGACCTCCAGTCAGAAATGTGTCATAGTATCCAAATTCCACCTGTCAAATGCTGTAGATACAGGTAAGTAAATATAAAAGCCATTCAAGGCACAAGTTACCCTGTGAGAAGTTCTAGCATTTTGTTTTTTGATAGCTCCTAATCTGGATAACTTCCAAAGTCAACAAAACCTGTTCAAGCAGAATCTTACCTTGTTTTCACTACATCAAGAGGATGCATCAGGCAAATTTCTACGAGACCTATAAAATAACAATAAAAAAGACTTAATTAACATTTGTACAAATAGTAGTTGAATTTTCATTGACTCAATCAGTTTTTGAAGTCTGAAAAATAAATAAAAATTTAAAAATATCATTGATGATACAGTAACTATATACTCTGTATATTAAACACTGTCAGGGATTCTAGACAGTAAATGGTGCTAGCTGTTCATTACAGCAGGGAAAGTGAGGACTTAAGCTAAAAGATCAATTTAATCATAGTTTTTGCTCAGTTTTCTGACTGAACAGCAAGAACATTTAATTTTCATCATAAATAAATACATTAAGTCTTGCTGAAAGTAGTGAAGGAGGGGGGTTCAGGTTGGCTTTTTTGGCATATAAGAGTAATCCCTAAGGACACCACAAGACAGTGCTAGGGGTCTCAAATGAACTTGATGGTAAGATGACAGCTAAATCCTGCGCTGCCTATCTGAGCTGCAGCCTTACTGTTTCTTCATCCTATCATGTTCTGTGTTGATGCACAGTGCTGGTTTCCCCCCTCCTGCCTCCACTGATCATCATGAGGACTTAAATTCACAGGCTGGGGACTTAACATTCACACGTGGAGGGTGTGAAAAAGAAAGGGCAAATGCCAAGGAAAAAGAGATCTGGAAGTCTGCACCTGCCAACACTGGCTTCAAAGTTGGTTCCGTTACTTTTTTCCACCCAACTGGCACCTCATGGAAAGTCCAGAGGTCTACCACCCACATTTGCCCATGCTTCCCAGTACACATTGCCCAGGGAGAACTTTTTTAGCTTCTATACTTTTGCTCAGATTTTTAGGCTTGTCTACTCCTCTGTCCATTTTGTATATCACCCTTATTCAAAAAACCCCAAAAAGATGTACTAATAAGGATCACAGAAAAAGTGTATTTTTGAGATGTCAGTGTGCAGAGGTAATAAAAACAACTACATAAATTTGAAAGGATTTTGAAATGTTGAGAAAATATGTATCTGTATGTCCAAGGTATTAGATTCTCATGTTTTTGGACTTTCTGTGCCTGGTTTATTAAGACTCTTAAGCATCCATGGCCTCTTATCCACACTAATAAATTTAATGCTACAGCATCCAAAACCAGTTCATGAAGACTGTACTTTAATGAGTGTAAGAATCTATTTCATCTATTTATTATTATAATAAAAATAATTGCAAACTTTCTGTAACACAGAATGAGTACTCTGGTAATTTAGGGCTAAATTTCTAAAAGTCTTGATTAATGCAAGCATTCTTATTCAAGCTAAAATATTTACAAATTCCTATCTTTATGCATACCGTACACTCCCACTGAATTTAAGTACATGCTTATGTTCCACTAGATGTTCTCCTTCAGATATCACTGTCTTAAGGTCCAGATCCTGTCCTCTTATTTTAACAGCACAGAATGCAGCTGAACTCAGTTATCGCTAAAGATAACAGTTTCTAATACCTAAGACAATTTCTTACACACTAAGCTACTCAACTATTTTCTCTGTCTAAGCAAGGCAAAGAAATAACTCTAACACAAAGTGAAAATCTCATTTTGAAATACTCCACACACAAGTGAACTAATGGAATTTGCAGTTTGGCTCTATTCTCTGGCAGGCTTGATGGAGAAAGACTCTTGGGCTTCATGTAGGAACCGGGCTCTGCCTGGGTAACGTAGTGTCTGACACTGCAATGTCAGAAACTTGAGTTCTTTTTTTTTCATTACTAAATATAAATCTAAGGAAGCCTCAAAGTTTCCATTTTCAATTATTTTAGAACTAATAAGTTTAGTGTTTCAAGTAGCACAGGAAAACTGTGGGTTTTTTAAAGTTTATATAAGAAAAGATTAAATTCCAAAACATTATCTACTTTCTATAACTTTAATGAAACTTTCTGAGTAATACAGGTACTTAGATAAGAAAGCATTTTAAACTGAATCAAAGCACTAGTAGAGAGAAGATTCTCATTACAGCCAAAGGAGAGGTAGCCAATAAAAGCAATAGCGTCTTTAGCTCAGCCTATAATAAATGCCAATATTTAAAAATAACCATCTATTTTCTGCTTGATATGCTTTACATATTGGATACATATATTACTTATAATTGTATATATTTCTCTTGAGGAAGAATAATCTATTTCTATAACAACAAGGGACTATGAAAGTTTTTGTACACAAATACAAGTTTTGGAGTTAGTAACAGAAAAAGAGCATAAAATGTAATGCTAAAATTTTCAACTAAATGCATTTGAACAGGAATTTACATGGAAGATGGTGAGGATGTTAAAATGTTTAATTGAATTCCTGATGTAAAATACTTGTGAAGAGTTTTAATTTAACATATGTAATTTTCCTTGTTTTATATCATTCACTCTAATGTTTAAAGCTTGCAAAACATAAAACTGGCCAGATAACTACTTACACCTAGTTTCTTTACACTGTGTCTAATGACAGTATCAGGCTAATATTTGTGACAATTGTTTTGTCATATTTTCTTTCCACTCCATGTAAAACTTGTCTTTCAGTTCTGGATAAAAGGAGAACTACACAGGTGATATCAGTCAAAGAATATTAATATCAGTATTAATGACAGTAACTAAAAAGTATGCAATTTAATATTTGTTTTATTTTTCCTAGAAAGCAAAAGATATTGTTATTTCTGACCACGTATATTTATTGCTGTAACTAGTGCCAGCAATGGCTTCTATTTTGCTAAAACAAGGCCAAATCATGTCACAAAAGGGAACACAGACTGTAAGTTTTCTATCCTGATTCTGTCCCAAAAACTATAAACTACCTCAACAGCTGCCAACAGGTGTTTTGCGAGCTGCAGTTGAGTGTTTCAGTGCTGGCAGGGGGCATAGCCTAAGAGTTTTTTCTTCTCTAACTACCACCTTCCTTTTCCAAACTCTACTACCTCCCCTCCCTTTTCCTCCAACATTTTGGACCTTCTATTCCATCTTGTTTTGGTAGATAGAGCCTACAGTAGGGGGCCAAGCATGGGGAGAGGGGTTGTTCACCCTATTCTGTTTTTGCAGAATTAATGTCCATTTTGGGAGAAAAATGTACAGTGCCAGAATTTGGCTCTATTTTCTTGGTCCTCATAGGATAATTTTTAATTCAGGCATTTTTCCAGCAACTGAATCAGATGAATTCCAAGGTCCTTGGCAAGAGCTCTGTTTTGATAACTTCAAGATTCTATTGGCTATCTTCCTTTCTCAGTCTTTCCTTTGTCTCATCATTTAATTACGTACTAAGTTTTAAGCGGTGTATAGTTACTTGACTTCATCAGACAGAACTCTTTAAAAGATACTGGGATTATGACACAGCTCTCTGAAGAGCATCAAAGGAACGCACACTTTGTAAGACACTAATGGAACAGCTACAAACACAAGCTACATTTTTCCATCTATTATAGTAGTCATGCAAAACATTACAACATCCTACTTGATAGCCTGCCCAGAAAGTGTGGTGGCCCTAGAAATTACAAGCACTCCGAGATGTGCTCAATAAAATGAAATATATTGCTCTTTCTTTAGTTAATGTTCATCAGCTTTATGACAAATTCAATTAGCACTACGAAAATCTAATTTGCTCAACAGCTATATCAGGGTTTGATATATTTTACCCTGTCACACTGTAAAGACTACTGTTTACAAACTTTATTTTCATGACAAAGTAGTTAACATAGCTACATATAGATTGTCCAAAAACATATCTTAGTCATCCCATTGGGTCTCCATGGTGATGTCACATGCAAACTAACCCAGAATGATTTATGATGGCCTAATTATGTTTATAACAACTCAGATCCAACTAGAGCCCAAAGGAAATATCGGAAAGAACAATTACTAGGTCAGTCCAACATTTGTTGTCTTCTGGGTTGGAAAACATTCCTGTGAAGATCGAATACTAACCATAAAACAAGACGTAATCAAAATCTCTGTGTTGAAGAAATAACCAGCTGTCATCATTGACATCCTCTGAGCATACACAAATGAAATATCAACAACCGAGAAGGGAGTCCAGAATTTTATTATGTAAAACATTATGCTCAGTAACTGATCCCATGGAGGGAATAAAATGACAGAGAATACTGACCCCCCAAAACGACCCTCCTCAGTAGAAAATTTTCCCTTTCCAACTAATATCTTCCGTTTTTAAATTGCTTCCAATTATGGATTGCATTACATTTCCCTCTACAAGATTCACATTTAAAATTTCAAACTGGCAGTCTTCATGCACATCTCTTCAAAAATTTTAGTAACTGGTTCCATTCCTCTTTGTTCCTCTATCCCATCAGACACACAAATCTTTTATCAATAATCGTATACAGCCTGAGAATACTATGACTGTTTAAAATGTAGTCTAATTATCTTTCTGGCAAAAGTGAAAGTGAGACTTCGACAGCACAGAATTACAGGTGTTCTCATCTTCTTCCCAAGTGTTTCCATACTTGAAGAATAAAATCCAGCTAATAATACTCGCAAAATAAATGCAGATAAAAATAGAATCATTATGACTTTGGTGCTTCTTAGGAGACAAATTCTTGTCTTTAGCTCTTCTTTGACACTCAAAGCTATGAACTGAACAGTGTGAAGTGCCCACGATACACACTAACTTGTCTCTCACCCTATACATACGCACAATACACCCTGAACAAAGATTCCAACACCGGTTCAAGAGATGTAGAGCATGATACATGTGTTAGTTCAGACAACCCCCTACAGCATAGAAGTCATTATGCACCCTGGAATAACACAGTAACTGGAGAAACAACAGAAAAGAGACTGGTCATAACAAATATGGCAATAAACGCATCAGGCACTGTATATTGTATAGATGGAACACTTGGTATTTATTTTGGCTTTTACATAGTTATAGTTACAGTGCAAGAAATGTTCATAAATATTTTATGCACACTATGCGTTTTCTTCTGAGAATATATGTCTGACAAAGTCTTGTGTTGATCTTTGTATCCTAATGAAAACAACAACAAATAACCTCTTAAATGTT